GAAGAGATTTATGAACTTCTCGAAGGAGCGATACGCTTGGAGGATGATATCGCGCCGGATGGAATTGTTCCTCGGGGATCCGGCGTAAAACACGGTACTAAACGGCTTTAGTACCCGTTCGATAGACGTGGACGGCTACTCGTGTGACGGCACACATATTCCGTGACATTCTGTTCGCTGTCGAAAAACGACGCGACGTAGTTGGAGAAGTTGACTATACGGGCGGGGCGCCGAGTGCCGGTACCGTTTTACGCGGTCCCAGTTAGAAGAACTAAATTAACAATCCTTGGACAAATTCCAGCCGCCGATCCGGGGCGTGACGGGTTTCTGTTCGCGGAGGAAAACAGTTGTTTCAGTCGAGTTGCGCTGTTTTGCGCGGATCCGCCGCGCTACCTTCTTCGGGCGTTTAGCACCTTTTAGATGTGGCTCGGTTAGCTTTTGCTCGAACCAATTAACAGAGCTATACAAGCAATTTGAAGCTCCGGTAGCCTTCTTCGTCGCTTCGTTCGGAGATTACCTGCTCCGGTTTTCCGATGTACCAAAGCAATTTCGCGCGAGCTATTTCGCGAGTCCTCTCCGCAACCAATATGCCTCTATCTTCGATCGACTCGCGCGAAATGATTACAAATGTGCCATCATTTATTCCTGCTTCACGGTTGTTTTCTGTTAGCCATTTCTCGGCTAAATGAATCGCGCTAAAGTGCCGGAGTGACTCGCCGTTGCCGGGGCAGAGCGAGCACCGGCGGGCGCTGCGCGTTTTCCATTTTTCATCCGGAACGAGAACCGTGTCGTTCGAAGGAGAACCGCCGGTTGGCAATCGTCGAAGGCTTAGAAGCAGACCATGCTCGGACAGAGGATGAGCGTTTGGCTCGATGCAGCGGGCGATAGACGTCGGCAAAACCTCGGCTCGACAGCCGATGAATTTTCGCCGGAGCCGACACAGGGAAATGTTTTTCTTCGGGCATTATAAATTCTCATTGATTAGAGAGCCCGTAAACGGGTTTATGACGTACAAACGACCGGACGCGACCTGGGGGAACAAGGATTTACGACCACGCGCAGCCGGCCGGCGATTGATGCTCGCGCGAGAAAACCGCGACCGGTCGCGTTTGTCCCGGCCGCTTGGCGACCAGCGGTTTTCTTTCGACGGAAGTCGAGCACGTTCCACGAACGCAGCCGTACGTTGCGAGAGAGGAGAATAGCTGGCCAGAAAGTGGTCGGCGAAGCGGCCGGGATCGCGGACACGTTCCTACGAGCAGAGAGAACCCGGCACACGAACGCGAGCTAGCTCGCGCATCGCTGGCCTCGCTAACGGTAGTGCGAGATCGACGTTGCTTTTCTTTCGCTGCTCTTCCGTCCGCGGTTTCGTTGCTGTTCGAGAGCTGTTCCAGAGCGACGCCGTTCCTCCGTGCCTCGACTCTGCAAACCGCGAAATCCGATCAATGCAGGGACACGCGCTTCCACGGTCCGACAAGCTCGCCGAGCATCGCTTAGAGATCTTCTTCGGCGTTGCTGTTCTCGACGAGTGTTCGGCGGCGATGGTGGTGGTGGTGGAACGGTTGAGAGAAATGGATGGAAGGATTTAGGGAAGGGTCCAGGAGAGAGGAAAGATCCTGGGAAGGTTCTAGGGAGCAATGAAGAGAGAAAATTGGACGAGAGAAAGGGAAGTTAGAGCGGAGATGACGATAATGGTTAATAAGATAAGAATTCTTTTATGCAAATTCGCAACGGGAAATGCGATTACTCGAGGGCCGTCTCGGAACGAATCTGCGCTCGTTTCACTGAAGAGTGATGCTGGCTTAAATCTCCATAGACCGACATTTTTATAGAGATTCTAAGTAATAGGTGTAACTCGAAATTCGTAAATGTAGAACCGCAACCTTTGGAGACAAATTAACAACGAATTTATAATTATTGACCGGTTTGCTGTTGCGACCTCTCTGAATATTGAGCACCTAAAATGTGTCGCGAAAAGTAAGCGATGTTGCGATGACTAACGTAGCATGACACACACATACTTTGTTCATACTCTATTTACAGTTCTTTCATATGATGTATAATTATTTTATATCTTTTTATTTCGTATTAGCCTCCAAATAGTCGAAACATCTTCAAATCGAGTTTACGTTAAAATCGAGTTTACATTAAAATTGCAAATTAAACAGGAAATTGTAACCATTTTTTTATCATCACTCGTCGATAACAGCCAACTGGTAAAAAGATGAACTTACCCCGACGTGCGAAGATTTTAAAATTGCGTCGCATAAGCACCTTAATTACAAACGAGAAAAACAACGGAACAAGATAAGACATTACGGCAAAGCTTTACTGAAACGAAATTAAAGACTGATAAAATATCGATAAGTCAGATTGCTAGTTAAAAGTTACGACGAGCTGCAGACGGTGAAATAGTAGTTGACACGGGAAGAGGATCAATCGACTTTTCCTCGCGAATGTCCGCGAGCCTCGCCGAGGAGGTGTCCTACGATTTAAATGCCTGGTTTTGCCGGCTGGCGTGGACAGGGACGAGCTGGTTCTTCCTCCCCCGTGTCTCGTGTCGCTTCGTGGCAGTCGTTCGATCGGTCGCGCTCGGTCGGTTTTCGCTGGGGGCACTTTTAAGGCGTCCTCCGTAAGTACCTTTTATTCGACGTCACAAAGTTTCAGACGCTCGTTCCCTTTCCGCGTGGAACGCGACCCGTGAGGAGAGACGTTGCCGACGTCGGTGAAATTTCTGCCTAGCGTCTTCTCTGCTCCCTTCGAAGCCCGAACGTCTCCCCGGGGGATCTCTCGTTATTTACGAATAGCGAGGAACGGAGGAGACAAGAGAGACGTTCCACGAACGCAGCGTCGCACTATGGGGTAGAAAGCATTCGCAACCGGTAACAAATATTTTCTGATTGAAATCACATACTTACGACGAATTTTCTGATTTTCTTTTACGGCGAGGCACTGTATCTGCGTTCTGTGTTCTTATTCTTAACACAGAATAAATAATAGCATTTACCTTCGAACAACATTTCTATATAACGATGTACAACAGTTAAATATAGATGCTTGCAAATCAATTTACCACCGATTTCGAGGACATTTTCAGCATATATAAGATAAGATAAGAAAGTTAAAAAGAGATTATTTTCTAATTTTTGTATCATTCCGATCAATTGCAATCTAAACAAAATTAATGTACACTCATTCTCTAAAAAACTAACATCTCAAAAGAAAATTCAATCGCTCGGACTAATTATCAATAAAATTATTCTGTTTGAAAAGGTGTCTTTTTCGACGTTAATATATATGTATAGGACAATAATGAGCAAAGAATGCCTAATAGGGCATTGTGGTCGGTGCGTCTATTTGCAATTGTTGAACATGAAACGCAGACAGCTCATCGCGAGACATAGTGAACGAAATTGATTAACACGATGTTCACGGAACCCGTCACTATGACGAGTCGCTAACGTTTTAATTTACGATTATTCAAATTGTGAAGACACATTTATGAGCTATTTATTTATTACATGTGTTACTTGCGACGAATATGACAATAGCCCCGGTTAAAAATCAGAATAAATGTCTTCTCGTCGCTTTTATAACGTAATATAAAACAGCTGCTTTTAATGTTCCCTAAATCCAGCGTTAATTGCTTTCTAGATTTCCACAGTATAAAATCCCCTGATCGCTATTTAATAGTAATCCGCCTTTCCAGGATATAAAAACCGTTCCCTCGTGGTTAGTATGAGTTATAGTAACCGTCCTCGGGTTTGAATCCCTGTAGCGAAGCCCACGGCTCGCGAAGGAAATATCGTCGACTCGTTGCCACGGCCTCTGTTCTCTCGTCACCAACCGCCCCCATGAATCATAATTATCTATCCACGAGCTCGTAATTCAATTCCAATGTGCGTCCGTGCGATGAATGATATCGGGCGGCGGGTATCCCCGCGCGAGACGCGTTATCGTCGTTCAATTAGGCGATCCGAGGCCTGCATTGTGGCAGCACGTAGCGCACCAGCGTCAACCTACATACTTTCCCGCACCTTTGACCCGCCGCCCTCCCCCCCGGCCGCCCCGATCGCTCTCTCTAATCGGCTTTCTCGAACCACCTGGGGAATTCGGTGCGAATTCTGCGCGAATTCTGCGCGAACGCCAGTTCCCAGACGTCGCTTCCGAATTCCGCGTGTGTCGCACCAATCCCCGAGAAATTTCGCTGATCCCGCCTACGTGGTCCATCCCGCATAATGCTCGAATTAAATCCCGGAATCTCGTAACCGGGAGAAAGGAACGCGCGTCGGAACGTACGGCCGAACGCAGGCGACGATATAATCCTTTACACCTGTTAGCAATCCGTTTAATCGGACTTAAATGTTCGGATTCGTCAACGATGGTGTAACCAGATTGCAGCGCAACATTCGTGCGACAGAGCGATCTTATCTTTATCGTAATTTTCGATGCCAGAGAAACATGTAATCGGAATCATCGGCAAACTTCGTTCGCCGCAATAGCCGTCGAATCCGTCTCCAAGATCTTTCGTCGTCGACGCGACGAGATATCCGTCGCTCCCGTTGTTGATCCTCCATCCGAGCTCGGAATTGGAGTAACGCGATTGTAATTGTACCACGGCTAAAAAGCTTGCGGAACGTTTATCGGGCAGAGGCGGAGCAGAGGCTGAATTTACGGGAGAGACGGGACGAAGGCCGAGTGGCTTCTTTTAATTAAAGAGAGGGTGGCACTTTTCAAGCATCCCTCTCCGGACGATAATCCGGGACCCGTATATACCCGCGCGAGCTCCGGCTGTCGTCGCAGCGTTGATCCAAGCCTCTCTCTGCTCGCTCTCGCTTTATTTGCCGATCTTGGGACGGCCGAGTTACGATTACTCTCGTGTAACCCGGTTTCCGCGTTGGCGACGATTACGCGTGCGATTCGCGTCAGAATCGAATTCAGAAGTTATTGGTTGCGCTGGCAGGTCTTGAACGGTCGCCTGCTTAGGTTTATTCGTTCAGATGTACAACTTACTTTACTTTATTATCATAGATTTATTTACGGGCTAAAGCTCTTTAGTTAACACCAAGTAATAAGAGTACACAAATTAACCATGGTGCTGCGAGATGTTTGCATGACGATACTTAAATAGTTCTAAATATATTCTGTCGGCAATATGTGCAATCAGAATTTAATGTATCGCAACACTGACTCGTGTTGCAAATGATTCCGTTTATGCAGTTATTACGAGCATATAAAGCCCGGCGAGATTCTCGTGTAAACAGATACTCGTGCTTGAAAACGGACGTGATACTCCTCGTAGTTTGAAAGGATCGCAGATTTCTGGACTGTTCATGCTGCCGTTCAGTAATCTGTGAGCAAACAACGAATCCTGCAATAACCGTCTATGTTCAAGAGACAATGTTTAGTCGTCGCAGTATCACAGTATAGTCGTGATCGTATTGACGTCAGGATCCCCGAGAATTAGGTAGTTAAACGCTCGAATTTATGTTGGACACGTTCAACATTCGCGTTTAAATAATAATGATACGGTGAACTATTGTATCATATAGAAGCTAGAGCAGATTTGAGTTTAGAAGGAGTATCGCAGGGTAAGAGGGAAGATGAAGTTGTAGAATGACTTAGAAGTGTAGCAAAAATGAAACAGGAGTTGTGAAATAGAAACTAGATGGAATAAATTAAAATAGGTTAGCTTATAAAGTAGATTATCATGAAGTAGATGATATTTGCGAGGATAGATCCAGGAAAATTTGAAAATATAAATGTATCAGATGGAAGCTAGACTGAAGCACGAGTGCTCGATAAGCGGTCATAGAACCTTCGTCACACTTTACACCGTCGATCTTTTGACGTTCGATCGAAATCGGCGAAATTCGTGTCGTTGCTAAGTTTATCTGTCGGAAAATCGAGACTGAGAATACCCGATAGGAAGTGGAGAGAGTGCACCGAAAATGTCCCCGCGCCAGAAACCGGAGAGCAAAGTGCAAAGTGCATACCGGTCGGGTCGAGGCCTCGGATGGGGGCAGACGCGGAGGGCAAAGAGAAAGAAAAAGGGCGCAGGTCGGGCAACGCGAGCAGCGCAAAGGGAGAAGTTGAACTGTCATTGACTCCCTCCCTGCGCTTCATCGTTCGCGTTCCACTCTGAAAGCGTTCCTTGTGCTCTCTCGAAAGGCTACAGTGCCTTTCAGGGCGCGATGACGTTGTCCAGAAGCCGGGCCATCGGTTGAAAAACCCCGGGAGAACCAGTCGACGATTTTCTATCTGCGGTCACGTTAATAATCGCTCGTGAGCTGACCGGGCTCTAATGGTTCGAAGAAAGGGACCGATTCACCGGGACCGTGCTCCTTTTCCTTTTATGCCCTCGTGGCTTCGTTCATGCGAGCCCTCTGTCGCGTTCCTGCTACATTTTTGCAGACGGCTTGCATTATCAACGCGTCCGTCGTTCGGCCATTTGACACTGGACTTACCGAGCCGATTGGAATTACTGCTTCGCAGTTCTTAGTTCAAACTCATTGAAATTACACGTGGAACTTTAAATAGAATTCTGTATAGAATTTTACATCTATGAATAGCCTAAATACATTCGGTATCGTCGTCGTTACGAAGCAACACTATTTCACGCTCGATAGGTTTAGCGATGATCTCGAATCTGCGAGGTCTTAACGATGCGTCGACTGCACGACGACGAACTAGTCCGCGATCAACGATTCTGTAACATCTCTTGAGATATCGAAAAGCTGACAAACAAATTCCCCGTTTAGCTACACATACGGCGAGTAGATAGTCGCCGATCGGCGGGCTGTCTCTGTGACACCTAGCTCCGAAACTTGTGCGTGAAACGTAATCGCGGAACTGCCGCGAAATATCTAATTGCTCGAGATAGTTCGGAAGATTCAGTGCCGCGTTAGGAAGACGCGCGATAGTTTCGGGTAAGTTTCCCGTAGCGACATCGAGGAAGCCACTCTAATTCCCCGGCATAGTTCGGATGGGTGAGTTTCGCGTGAATGATAACGCGAATAAACAGAAATAGACGGGGAAGTTTCGGTCCTCCGTGGCTCCGCCGGGGCACCCTCTCGTATGCAACAAACCGTGTCGATGTATTTGGATATCGGCGCAGCCACACGTGCTACAATGCGTGCCGTATGCCCACGTTGTATCCTGTATGCTGTATGCTGTATCCCGATACCCGGTTCAGATAAAGTACTAGGAAACGAGCGTGCATAGGCAGGGAACCGACGCGCAACAACCGCCGCCGTCGTGCATCGCGATCGCCATAACGTATCGGCTGTTTCAAAGTTACCCGGCGATCCCGTACACGGCATTGCCATACTCGTTCGCTTCGACGACCGGCCGTCTCGCCTTCTGGGAAAGACAGTCCGCCACGAACGCCTCGCGGACGCATTATCGCGACGTCCTGCTATCTTTCTCTCCTGCCAAGATTTCTATACACTCGGAAAATTCCCTTCCGACCAAGCTAATCTTCCGATCTTTATTCCAGCCGATGGAACTTGCAGCTTCGCTGCTATTTCTATTCGAATTTTGAATACGCTGTCTCGTTTTGCCGATTCCGTTCGATACCGGTGGAAGATACGTTATTAATTGCGCTTGCGGAAGTCCGTTTTAGCGTCATTGTTTGTTCCAAATACTTTATTGCCCTGGGTAACTTGATGCTCGTACGGCGGCCGTTAACACACGCTCAGAGACAAAGAGAGAGTAGGAGAGAGAGTGCGAAAGGTATATAGGCAGGTACAAAAGACAGGGACATAGTGCGAAACGACTCGTAATATATACATAAGAGAACGAGATTTCTTAGACACAACATAGATTTGGATTTTATTTTATTTTTTTATTTTATTTATATTTTATGAGGTTATAGAAAAATGGAGTAGTTGCAATTTAAAGTAGTAGACAGATTAAAAGAATTCGATAACGACAATGTATTATATTTAATCTGTTACGATATTATTAGAGGAAGATTCTATTTCTTGCAATTGATGCAGATAATGTTTATTTCGCATGAAAATCCGCTATCTACTAATTACTCTTGCAATCTATACCGCACGCTGTCGCTAATACGTATTTATTACAGTAGCAATTACATCATTATCGATAGACTGCAGATTTTTATGGAAAATAAAAATTCTCTTCATCAGTCGCAAGAAATATGAGCTAAATAGCACGTTCTTTCTTTCTCCAATAACCTTAATGGTTTGAAAATAACACATCGACATTTTTAAATTCCCTCAATGTGTCCACTACTGTAAATTTCAACTATCCGAATTTACCACAAATGTATAAAATCCGCAGTATAATTATCAAGAATATGATCTTGTGCTTTATTTTTCGGTCATAAATTTTACACGGTCACACTCTTTTCTAAGACATTTGACAGAATTAGATGTAGGATTTATTTGCACTTATGGAAGAACGAATTCTGAATCGTCTTTGATGTATTCATGATGTAAACAGATATTCAGAATGGAGTTACATAATTAAGTTACGCAATGAATAACACATAGCAGTGACACGTACAGTAACAAATGAAAAGTTAAATACAAGTAACAAAGTTAATGAAAGCACAAGTTAGTTATTCATCAATAATATTACCAATAATAGATGAATTTAAGCCGATCCACGTGCACGCTGCTTCATGTCCAAATTAGAGCAGATCAAATTTAGCACTGTAACAAAACGAACTACTGTATTATAGCAACATTTTATATACACTTTATGTACTTTCCTTATGTACTTTCCGCCTTATGTACTTCCCTCAGGATAATCGAAGTCCCATGACAATAAAGATTTCGTACGAAAGTCGCGTAGGTGGCTCGAGTGGAACAGACAATGTTGAAAGCGCAAGGATTCTCGAATCGCTAATAAGGTACAGAGTGTTCGGTAATGACTGAAGTGTGATTTGTCAATGTTCCAGCAATTTCCAAACGACAACTGATGCTTGTACACGTTAAATTTCCACGCGAATAAGTCGTTAACAGTTTGCCCACCGATTAATAGGGATTACTTTGGCGCGGCGGTTGATAGAACCAGGCTCTTAGCGTGTGCGGACAGATTCGATTCGTTGGCAGAGCTTTTCTAACCGGCAGCGGCACGGTTAACCGAAGCGTTGCGCGTGTAGCGGGTCCGCGGTTACCCGGTTCTATTCTCCTCCCACGCAATCGGAGCTCGAGTGCGTGGATGCGTGGATACGTGGAACGCGTGCGTGCGTGGTGGGCCACGTGCGTGCGATACGAGGCTCGCACACGCCCACCGGGTACGTGACACGGATCACCGGCCGGCTCTCATACATATTCATTCGCATATGTGTGTTCCCTGTAATCTACTTAACGCGACCGGTACGGGTACGAGCGGCGGGTACGCGTACTCGCCCGTTCAATCCGTAACGTAGACGGATATTTGTATTATCGGCAAGAGGCGTGCGAGGTGTGCTATCGGGGACGACACCCGTGGCTCGTCGATCGTCGAGAGCAGAACATAATTTCATTTCGTTCGATCTCCTCGAGCGTGAAAGCCCTTTTACCAGCCGCGCATCCTGCGAGCTACCCGGCAAACACGGACCAAAGAAAACCTGTGTCTCTCTCCTCTCACCTTCTCTCTCTCTTTCTCTCTCTCTCTCTCTTTCTCTCTCTCTCTCTTTCTCTCTCTCTTTCTCTCTCTCCTCTCACCTTCTCTCTCTCTTTCTCTCTCTCTCTCTCTCTCTCTCTCTCTCTCTCTCTCTCTCTCTCTCTCTCTCTCTCTCTCTCTCTCTCTCCCTCGTCCGTTTAAATCCGAGGCGGAACGGCGCGAGGCGATGCGTCGCTAGGTGTCGAGACGGCCGAGCCGACGAGGCGGCTAAACAGGGTCATTGAGAGCGGTTTCGAGCACAGCCGAGGTCGCGATGATGCAATTGCAGCTTCGGGGAAAAACGAGAGTGAAATATTTTTGAAAACTCTCTCCCNTCTCTCTTTCTCTCTCTCTCTCTCTCTCTCTCTCTCTCTCTCTCTCTCTCTCTCCCTCGTCCGTTTAAATCCGAGGCGGAACGGCGCGAGGCGATGCGTCGCTAGGTGTCGAGACGGCCGAGCCGACGAGGCGGCTAAACAGGGTCATTGAGAGCGGTTTCGAGCACAGCCGAGGTCGCGATGATGCAATTGCAGCTTCGGGGAAAAACGAGAGTGAAATATTTTTGAAAACTCTCTCCCACCCGTCTACCGTCCGGCAATTATAAATGGCTCCAATATAAATAACCAGCCACTAGAGCTGCTGGATGGAAGTCGGACGGTGGCTGTGAAACGGCTGAGAACGCCGCGGCGTTTCGGAGCCGAGTCCGAGATTGACACGCTTGTCCGAAAAGGAAGACGATCTTCTGCCTGCGAGGCCTTTCTCCGAGAGATCGCCGCGCTGCTGCAGAGCCGTTCGCAGCTTTAAGACACGGCGAAATTCTCTTTCGCCCGAATCCTTAGAAATTGTCCCGTGCTCCAACTTGCTGACAGCTCGTCTCTCTTTGCACTCCGCTCGCATGTTGTGCTCGTAAAGTAGGAGTAATCTGTGCCACATGACATAAGTTTGCCGACAATCTACAAGTGGTCGGAGCCTGTCACTTGACACTTTGACTGATCGAATTAAGCTTGAAGAGACGATCTAATTACCAGACTTACATATTTTTTGCAATTAGTACATAAAATTCACGATCTAACAATCGTCACTCGACGAGATACGAGTACATGAAAGTAGGGCTCGAGTGGATGTCGTTTCTTCTGTAAAACAGATTAAAAAGCACTCTTGGCTCACGAGTACATTCTCGTGATCTCTCGTTATCTTTAATACTTAGATTTCAGATTGTGATATCGTTCAAAACTTCGATCGCGACGACGACGGCCTCGACGGTTTCACGAATTTGAAGCATTTTATTCCGCTTTCAAATCGCGACGTTGAAACGTACGCGAATTACGTTTCCAACATTCTCGCGTTTACGCGAACCCGAATAAGATTAGGAAGACAGAATAGATTAGCATGAAAATGAATTTTCTAATTTGAGCGAATCATTCCGTCGGCCGCATAAGCGTGACGCGGCCGTGTTGAAACGCTGTTGCTAAACCATAACCCGGTTTTAATAAACTTTTACGTTCCGGTACGACATGTAAAATGCGCGCGTCTCTTCCGACCGGACGTGAGAGAAATCGGAATCGGCGATTCAGGTCCAGTAACTCGCGTACGTCGGAACGCAAATTCTTTCTGTGCCACTTTGGATCATTTGCGTCCTCGACAGCCTCATCCGTGTGTGATGTAACGAAACGCTTCGAATAACATGTTTCCCACCTAGCGACCGGCATTTTCTTGCGTACGAATGGTTTATTCCCGTAAAAGAATAAATAAATCAATAAATAAACAGCGCAGTTTCGTACTGCGCGGAGAAAAAGACGTTAGCCTGCCTCGCGAGTCAATAAATCATCGACCCTGCGATTCTCGGACAGAGCCGAGTGGAATCGCGTTAATCGCCGGAGGATCGGCTTATCTCGTCGGCCGCATCGCGGGGGATCGTTGTATCGGCGCTACGGGAATCTTCGAAACGGATCAAAGCGAGGATCGAGTAGGAAAGGAGGAAGAGACGACACGGTCGGATGGAATGATAGAGTCGTAACGTCGCGTCGCGAGGATTAGCGAGCGAAGCCGGGCGACGTGGGTGGAGCGATAGCAGTCGCGGCGGGCTTGTTAGCGCGAACGCACCCTAGGGAGCGAAGCGTGTCGCGTGTACGTCTAAATATAAAGCCGACGAAGTCGGTGGAAGAGGCGCGAGAGCGCGAATCCTCGACGCGAGGTGTAACCACCTAGTCAAAACACTCTGTTGTGCCGCGAGAGAGAGAGTCGCACCGCCGAGGCGAGTCGAATCGAGTCGAGTCGAGTCGAGTCGAGACGCGAGTTGCAGCTGCAGTTGCAGTTGGTCGGAGCCAGGCCGATTCCGCCGGTCCTCCGTCTCTCCGGGCCTCTCGTCCGCGCTCCAGTTTCTCTCCGAAGCTGGCCCGGTTGCTTTCTCCTGCAGGACCGTCCTTCTAGGCCCCGCGAGGCCTCGCGTCTGGTGAGAATCGTCTGTGCGCGGGGTTCCAGTGAAAATCGATCGATCTCTCGGCGAACGATCCCGAAACATGTGATCCGTCTCGCACGAATCTAATTGCGGATCGCGCGACGACCTTGGCGGAGGAGCGTGCTATTTTCGAGTGGAAATCCAGTGGCACACGCCTCCCGCTTCTGGCTCGCGTGATCGTTGGATTCGCGCTGGTGCTCGGTCGATCGGGGGTGAAATCGATCGGAGCGCACGGTAGGCCGGACGAGCGAGCCCGCTCGCTCTTCAAAGAGATATTTTCTAAACGAGTTCCGGTGCCCGTCGTCGCGCGTGTCCCGTCCCAGCCGGCTCGGCGCGTTAATTAACTTATAGGAGCGATGATCCTCGACGAAGAAAGAGGAAAAGTCCCGCGGAGCGATCCGGAGCGTCGGCTCCCGGGACCCGACAAAGCCGCTCGCTCTCGCGTGTTCCAGGCCAATTATCGTCCCCCCTCGTCCCCGGGTAATTAGAGGGGCGGCGCGATAAAAATCGACGCCGGGGCTCGATCGAGATTCCTCGCGTCTAACCAGTCCGGTAACGGTGTTTCGCGTAAACGGATAAGCTCTGCCCCTCTCCGGCGTCCTCGTTGCGTCGGGGTTCTCCGAAGCGGTGTGTTTCGCGACGCAGAACTGTTGGATGGGTCTTCTGACGCACTCGACCCGACCTACTTGTCGTCCTTGCTCGCGTCATGCTCCGGCGAGATTTAACGACGGTTCGACGCAGTCGGACGCGATGCCGCGGCTCTTGGTCAGTGGGTGGAGCCGGCAGTTTCCCGGTCGAGAGCTCGTGAAAGGGCCGTCTGTTCGCGAACCGAAGGTCGACGGTCGGAGGGCTCCGGCTATTAGCCGCGATCGGCTGTCCCTGTGATCCCACGAGTTCGAGGAATCCCGTGAATACCGTGCGGCGCGGCGGGACTCCTGTAATTAATGATTCCCGGCGGCTCGCGTCGGATTAACGAGACCGTCGCGGCGCGTCTCGGCCCCCGATCGCTTGAAAATCTCCCGGACCATCTGCCGGCGAGCCGCAAAGCGAACAATAGCCTCTTGGTGGACGATCAACCGTCCGTTGTTCCTTTCTCGCGTTCCCCGGCCGGCGGGCCCGCGTCGGCCGGCGGCCGAGTATCGCGGTTGCCACGAATTAAAACCGGCTAATTCGGGCCGCGAGAAAACGGCCGATCCGGGGACTATTTTCGGCTCGTAACGCGACGCTTCATTCATAACACCGAGCCGCGTAAGCTTCGCCCGGAGACACCCGATTAAACACCGACACCGTGGCGCGTTCCTCCGGGATCCCGCAGATCCTGGGCTCTTGTACGATTCTCGACGCTAAACCCGCGGACATGCTTGGCTCTCAACGTTGACGCGACGTAGACCAAATCAATTGTTACCTTTCTCGTGGAATTCTATGTAAACGTGTAACCGCGTGTCGAGGGCATATGTAATAATTCACTATTTGCGGTTGCCTTATTTTTTAAATTTCGACTCTGCATCAAGTCATTCTAGACCTCTGTATTTCTCTTCTCTTCCTCTAATTTTACAACTAATGCGTGGTCTCCCGTACATATTCAATAAATAAATATATAAATATATTATATTACTATAATTGAATGGATATACGGAATTCTTTCGAAAGTATAATGGAACCATCGACGCTAAAAATGCATATTACTGCCCACCGATTAGCTGTTTCTGTCGGACACAGTCTGTCAGAACAAGAACCAAGTAGTTACGACGACAATCGTCGCGCTGAAACAGCCTTGTAACGACGACTGGCAAAGAAATCGTGTCTTTTTCGACAGTCCAAGTGCGAAGCAGAGAATCGCTCCGTTCTTCTCCTATTCCGGGTGAAATCGAGCGAGTCGAGGCTCGATTAGCCGCGTAATTAGCCCCGCAGTAGGGCTCCAACGAGCAGCCGTGACGTTCGAGGAACCATCGAGCCCCATGATCGATGATCACCAGCCGGAAAGGATTCCGCGAGCGTCGATTAGGAGACAGAGGCCTAAGTGCAAACGCGTGTTTCCGGGCCCGGTTGGCTACCCTTCTGGCCTTAATCCCGGCCAGTTTCCATGGCGGGCGATTCAGTCGGTAAATCAGCCGAGTCTTGATCCGCGCGGCGCACGTTCGTCCAGGAAATCGCTGGATCAGGGAAGCGCGGCCCGATTAGGGGATCAAGCCGCTGGGACGTGCGTGGCTCGCAATTTCGATCTCTTTCGGTCCCGCCGGGCATTAAATATTATTAATCGTAATACCACGGGCTGGCTGGTGAACTCTCTCGATATTGTTCAGGGAATGCGAGCGAGCGGCTGCTGCGACCTCGAAACGGGTCCAATCGGCCGCGTCGCGTCGCGTCGATTCGACGGGAGAGACGTCGAACTCGGCTGTTCGATCGGCCGTTCCGCGGCTAGGCTCGCCACCTCGCGATACCACTCGCAATTCGACGGAGGAGATCTTCCATGAGACACGATGGAGCGGTCGAGGAGCGACAGTCGCGCGAAGAGGCTGTCGACGATCGCCGAGTACTCGGAACCCGCGATCGACAACAATAGCGATCCGTCGGAGAGCCGCGGGCAGGAACCCGCTCCGAGAGACCTCGAGGAGGAGGCGCCCGTCAAGTACTTCCTCGTCGACGACTCGCCGATGGCGAAATTCAGCCGCAGCATCAAATGGATCTACAAGAAAGTGAGTCCCGAAACGTTTTACCGTCGCTTTTGCGAATCTAACCGACGAGTTTGCTCGCCTCGACGGCACTCCTCTCCTCCCGTTTATTTGCCGGGCCATCCCCTTTGGAACCGTATAAACATAACGCCGAGGATTCCCTGGAAAGCGTTCCTTCACCCCGAACGCGAGTGCGTTTTCACAATTTTTTCAGACCCGAATTAGATAAAAAAACTTACTTGATTTTGCTTCAACACTAGCGAGCAACTTGCGACACTTTTTTGCGAGACCGAATCTCGTTGCATGTGCAAACTTCCTCGACATAGTGGCCAGCGTGTTGGAACCACCTGCGACGGTTGCTCTCAAGTAGCGAAAAAATACGTACGCGCTCTTTGCGAATAAGTGAGAACGCTTATGCAAGAGTTCGTCTGGTAAAAAATTTCGCAATTTAACTTGCTAGCGTATTCGCACTCGGATCCTTTTTGCGCTACGATTTCCCTCGGAATTGCGTCGATTAGCACTTCTTTGTTCTGAACTTATTTGATAGGGCGGTTTCTTGCGCGTCTTGATCGCCAGTCTGGCTCGTTGTGACAGTGAAAGGGGTTAAAATAATCACGATTTACATAGTGGGTCGGGAAATCGCCTTGTCACTGGCTCGCCGCGTTATTCGGACCGTTTACAAGGAAGCGTCGAGGATCAGCTCGGCGGATAATTCGCAGACGGCTATAAAAGGAGAAAAACGAGGCTCGGGATCAATCTATCGGAAATCTGGCCGTATATAGATGCAGAAATGCGTCGGTGCCCCGGCGGAACTCGGTCTGAGAGAGGGCCGCGACTACCCGCCGACTGATCTGTAATTCAAGCAGACCGGGAATTTGCACGTCAAAGTCGCCTTATGAGTGGCCGATTGAGTCTGCCGGGCCTAATATGCATACACACTCGCGGCATTGCGCACACTTTCCCGGGACCTCTGTAGCCGGCTTCGAATTATCATAGGCTCGCGTCGACATCGACGTTTCCATCGTCTGGCAGCCTCTGCCTTCTGTATCCACGGCGTGTCTAGCAGCGTTCCGCTCCGATCTACTTCGATCTGCTCCAGTCTGATCCGCGCTGCTCGTCTACCGGTGAAAGAAGCTATTAGCCGCACGCAGTGTAGACGCTCGTTCTTTTGCTCTGTTTTACTTTCTAACTCTTCGAGCCGTGTCTGTGCTCTCCAGCCTCGAGGAAGGGAACGTGTCGAGTCCGCGGCGAGCCGAGCCGCACGAAAGTCGTGACGGCATTCGCGCGCGCTCCTCTTCCCTGGCCCGTGCAAAGACCTACACCGCTTCGCTTTTCAACTCGCGGACCCGGCGAGAGGAGCCATCGGGACCGTGTTCGACGAGTCATTGATCCGGCCCGCGCCGCTTTTCATCCGACAACATCGAAGAGCTCGCCAACGTTCGCTATCGTTGCTACCTTTTCGTAGCGCACGAGTTTGCGGGCTGCATTTTATCGGAGCCACTTCAAATTCACCCTTCCCGATCCAGCGATTTCGTTTCAGCTGTCGCGATACGCCCGCAGATTCTACCGGCGGTCTGCGCTCGCTTTGTTGGCCATGTGCAAGTACACCGTAGCTACCATTAGCGGCAAATTTAATTCAGACTTCGATGGGATACGTGTTCCGAGAAGTAGAAGCTGTGCGAAAATTATCTGCATTGCACGTTATTTTGGTGCATCGGAGTTAACGGTTACGGAAATGCAACGAGTAACGCGATTTTTTGGTTCACATATCATGAAGAAGTGGGGAAATTCTGCAAATGTGCGACTACGAGACGTGCAAGCAAAATTTGCTGAGTTTCGGGGACGGAATCGAATGCTGTTCTTAACCAGTTGCGGCACGTTTTTATAGTTATTGACAATTGGTAATTATAAAAAACGAGTCGCAAGGCTCGCAATAATCGCGTCTCTTCTTCCCAAATTGTCTGTTTTAGTGCACAATTTCGGCGACAATTAGGGAGACGTTACTGTAGCCGTTTTTGAGGCGAATGCTCGAAATAGGAACATTTTATGCTACGACGAGTAGCATTAGGATATTCTGGGAACGAAAACGAAAAGTCTCGGCGTTGAGACTGGACCGATTTATCCGCGGACTCCTGCGTCCAGCGAGCCGACGTCATCGACCTCGGCGGATCGTTAACGAACTGGATGACAACATTCTCATCGTAACGTACCAGGGGACACGGGGTTCAAAGACTGTTGGAACGCGAGATAAGCAAGAATTAGAAATAACGCGCCCCCCTCGTACAATCTTCCGGCTACTCGTTGTTCGCCCGTGTTCCGGCGGTGGGGGGTGACCCCTTTCCTCCCGGGTCCTCCGTCATGTCGGATAGGCCTCCTACTTGTCTCCTTGAATCTCTTCTCGTCGTGTTCGCCGGGGAATGCAGAGATCCGCAGAGCTACTTCGGCGTGCTGTTTGCTTCTTCTTCTGCTTCTGCGTTCTTAGCTACCTGTCGACCCGCCCCGCGAGAGCCGGATAAAGAGAGCTACCTGTCGCGGAGGAAGAGGCCGCGAAACACAAAAGGAAATGGCTCAGGAGGATGAACGGGGATCGTGGCTGGAGGGAGATGAAAGGCCGCGGGAGGCGGAGGGAAGAATGGAGGATCACGTGTCGAGGGTCTCGGACCTAGAAACTCTTCCAGCCTCCGTCACTCGAGCGACGAGGCCCGCTCGAGGGGATCTTAAGGGATGAAATGACCTATTTCGCATTGTGGTTAGCTTTTCGGTGTCTCGACGAGCCGGAGGACCACTCTTGCCGAACTTCGAGCGGTATTACGCCCTCCGAACGGCTCGGGGAGATTTCGCGAGACGCTCCCCGACCCTCGACAACCGTTTCACCGCCGACCACCCTCTGGACGAGTCTCCCGATATTCTTCGAAGCAGATAGTTATATCGAGACGTCTCCCCGGGAAACGCCGACGCGTGGAATATCCATGCATCGAGAGCTGAGTTAACGGAGCTCCGAATTCTGCTGTTTGCCAACAGGCTGGCACGTGTCCGACACGAATCGTGCATTCGACGTTCGAAAGACGCGAATCCGGCGGAACGTTCCCCCCGTTCCCCCGTCCTCTGATCGATTTCATTGTCTGGCGGGATATTAGCGCACGTCCGCCGCGCGAGGGAAATTTTAATCGGCTAATTACGTCGATCGAGACCCAACGGTGAACCTCTGCGGCCCGAAGGTACGCCCTTTAAAGGTACCAGAAATTGCCAGACAATTGGTATCGGACCGACTTCAAAGAAGCTGGAAACTTTGTCAGGAGTCGAGGCAGCTTCGTCTTCCGGCCAAATTGCAGACGTCGCTCTGTCCGTCACTCGGTCGGTTAGTCGGGACCTTAATTTTTGGCCAATTTGATTCTCCGTGGCGTGCACGTTCGCATGCTCCGAGCATCTCGCGTGATTCCTCGCGCCAGGTGGCCGAAATAGCTTGCACGAACCGCTAGGGATTCTCGTACGGTCCATGGACGCGATCCATGCGCCCGCAGAACCTCCTTTTCTTTTTTTCTTTTTCCATCGAGCCGATCGTCGATGCGCCAGATTCGCTGCACCCTCCGATGCTCTGAGATCCACTTCGGTTCTCCTCGTTCCGTCTCGTCTTCGCACAACAATCGTCGTGACCAGGCTGATGGGATAGATGGACACGGTTTACTCGATTAGAAAAGGTTAAATCGCATTCGCACGGTTTAGTGGTCCCTACGGCGGTGGCGGGGTCGACGATCCCAGGGTCCACGACCCAAGTAATTTGCTCCCGGAAACGCGCGTAATCGTGAAATCAGTCGCAGCCTCGACGTCGCTGCCGAAAGTACCGAAGCAATTTCCATCGACTCGCTATTTGTCCACCGTCTGCGGGTCGGTGAACCGATTAGAGTCCCCCGATCGAAACGCTATATTGACGTCACGATGTTAGCGGCCGCGAACGCTGTCCGACTTCTCACCTCTGATCGCGTAGATGCCGCGATTCTCACCGAAAACGGCAACGTTTGCCGAGAAACGATAGGTATCGATTGTTGCGAGCATTTGGTCGCGACACGGGCCGTTTGCGTGCGGTTTGCGCAAAGGGAAACAGAGGATCGAAGATTTGGCTCAACAGTTTCTGCGTGTTCGCTTCGGACTGATTCAGAAAATGAAGACTGCCTGGTCGTCCAACTATTAATAACAAGCACTTTGAGCTTTTCGTAACTGTTTTATTTCGATGGTACAGAGAGAGAGAGAGATACTGTTTCTGACTTGTTCCGGCATTTCAGTATTTCTTATGTAATGTATATATACGTTAAACCTACCGAGCAGTAAAAATTATTGGTGTGCATTGATTCGTAAAAATGAGACGATTGAATTCATTTGGATTTTGTATAGCCTTCGTGACAATTTTTGCTCCAATAATGTAATCTTTTCAGTGCGCCTATAAGTTACCGAGATCTACGAAACGCATTTTCTACATTTTCGTTACAGGCTCTGACAAAGATGTTAAAGAATATTTTAGTCTATATATATATATATATATAATATTATCATATTATATAATATTTTATTATATATTATTATATAATAATATATATAATATTATTATTGTTAAATATAATATATATTATAATATTTTAGTTTAGTAGTCTAATAGCCTAGCCCTTCCAATTTTAAAAGAATTATCGCGTTTTAAAAGGTGTTTGAACATTTTTGTGAAAAACCGTAGGTACAAAGCCGCTCAAGCTAATCGCAGGCTTAAATGGACACGTTGTTGGCTTGAAAACCCAACACCGTTCCGGTCCGTCAGAGGACCTATGGAATCATAAATTTTGATCAATCGATTATCCCAACGACCGAGGAGATTAGCGGATCATGTGAGAGGACGTGGTCCACATTCTGGCCAGGGACGAAGAATGTCCCTTTCCAGTTGTCCCCGGATCTTGGCTGCGCCGCTCGCCAGTCCGCTAATTCGGACGATCGGTGTCCCAGGTTGTCATCGAATCCGACCGGCAACTCGACACCGGGTG